TAATGAATGTTAAGATTGAGGTAATATTAACAAGTACAAAAAAGTTTAACATTCTAGAGAATATAAGAAATATAAATAGCATTAATATTCTAAAGAATATTAACTAGTGGTGACCACCCTAATTTAAGACTATGGAAATGGAGCTTATAATCATCAAAATTTTGAATTTAAAATTCAAATGTACAGTTGGGATTATAAATAACACAATTCAAAAAGAATCAAGTCATTTGGACTTGAAATGAGGAAGTTATGATAATTTGAAAATGACATAATACTTATATAAAATGATAAATGTATGCAATATTTGGTGTTCATGGCCTTTTAATTTTATATACAAAACTGGTATATAGTAGCCTTCTAAATGAAAGTTATAGTAAACATAACAAAAATCCATTGTTAAAGGAATCAGACAAGTCTGAATTTATACAAGGAAGTTAGAATGTTTGAAGATAGGGAAAGAATTTTCATGAGATGAGAAAAAAAGAAAAGTTTTTCAAGTTATAGAAATGTTCAAAAAATCACTAAATACCATACTTTGGAGCTTAAAAGGACGACTTTCTTATTTTCAAATTTAAATTTTAATATAACAATGGAAAGATCTTGACATAAAGAACACAATGTAAAAAAATCAAGTCAATCAAGATGCTTATAAAAAATTATAGACGTTTAAAATTAACCATGTGTCCATTTTTAATGTTATCAAAGTTTAACATATCTAATTTTAATATATCAATGGGAAGATCTTGACTTAAAGAACACAATGTAAAACGAATAAGGTCAATCAAAATGATTATAAAAAATAATGAATGTTTAAAATTAACCACATCCATTTTTAATGTTATCAAAGTTGACTATATCCAACTTTTGTTGACCAAAAGGTTTAAATAAAATTTTCTAGATTTTATTTTTCATTTTCCCATCTAACCTTCTAGAGAATTAAGTGTGGGTGATCAATATGAGATTAGTGTATGTAAACACAAACAATAGAAGAATGAAAGGGAGATTAAAGAATTTACGTCATCAAGCTTGAGATTTAAAGGTACGAACTCATCGTCTTCCTTTCTATGGTAAAAATATACAAGTTTAGTCATATTTCATGAACACTAATTTTCGTAAGGGTCTTGCATGTATGAATTAAAACGTATAAATAATAGTGTGAGTATTTTTAACCATGGAAGAAGTTGAGATTACATAATTAAAACTCAACTTCGTGATTAATTTAAATTTTTTGGGTGAAGTCATAAACCTTAATTTTTAGGTTTGGATTATATGGTTTAATTTAGTTTAGATAATAATAATACAAGTTGATTAAACATGTTATTCACAAGAAATAACATGTATTATACAATATTAGATAGGTGAATACTCATGAACTAGATTGAAAAATATGTAGAGATAATGTCATAGTAGCACAATGAAGTTTCGTGTTTGGTCCGATTTGACCATTTATGTGTTTTTTTCACAATAGGTCATCTAATTCGTACTGTACATGTCAATTAAGCTATTATCGTTAGTTTTTAACCATTCCTCCGCTATGGTTAAAAATTTATTCCTAGTTAGTCCTTTACCTACTATGAATTAAATTACACGACTAAAACAGCCATATTTCTGAAACTTTGGGGACCAAAGGTTAAAATTGTCATCATCATCTTCCCCATTTTGAAACACGAAGCATGCCATTGGATTCCATAAACACCAAACCAAACTCATCCCATGGAATTTTCAGATCAAAACATTCGCTTTTAACCAAAATCATCCCAAAGAAACCGTTCAATTTCTTTCACTACCAAAAGTGTCACATTTATTTCACACTATTTTCTTACTTGAACCCGATCAAATCCTAGAAAATCCTACCCACAAATTTCGAGAGATACCAGTCATTTATGTGAGGTGCCACATCTTGAGGAACTACGGGAAAGTGAAGGATCATGTAACACCTCAAATTTTAAACCAAATTTTTCATTTTTAATTTACCCAAAATATTGTTCATAAACCAAACCATCAGAAAATCACAAGTACCAAGTACAAATCATCACTATAAATATCAGAGTATATCAAAAATCCACATAAAACATCCTCAACAGGCGAATGTGTACAATCATGTATTCGCCTTCCCGCGATCCTCACAAGTACCTGAAACACATTAAAATCAACACTGTAAGCACGAAGCTTAGCGAGTTCCCCAAAATATCACATACATCACAACACAAATAAATAGCTATAGGTTATCAACAACCCTGGAGACTACCCGAAGTTTCAATGGACTAACAGCACGCCCGATGGGTTATCAACAACCCTGGATACTACCCGAATTCTCAAAGATATACAACATAACAACAGAAGTCACAAAGATAACATGCATACCACATATATAACAATTATGACCCAGTTGTTCACGTATACAATATACCACATGAGTAGATATAGTGAGAAGACTTACCTCGCACAGATGACTGATAAATCTCACACCCGGACTGCCGAAACTAGACTTCACCTAATAATTACAACAATTAACCCTGATTAATAATTAGGGTCATCAACCCGACTCACAAATCCAAAATCCTCAACAAAGTCCCTAAGAGGCGAAAAGACCATTTCACCCCTCCAGACCCAAAACTCACAAAGTTTGACCAAAAGTCAAAAGTCAACAGGTCTGGTTCATACGAGGGGCATACTCTCCTTACGCTGGGCGTACTCTGTCAGAAAAGAAAAGTCGGGGCCAGGCCTAGCGATGCAGGGCATAACCAAGGGTACGCTCAGTGTACTCTGACTGATCCCAAAACTCACCCTCTAACGTCTTAAACGTTAAGACATGAAACCCAAACATAGATCTGACCTCCTAAGGATGTCTTAATCCATAAATAGAGCTCAATAGAGCTCAAATAGAGCTCAAACCTCAAAGCCCTAACTTTTGCAACACTCAAAGCCACTTCACTCATGCATGGACCAAAGAAAACGATCAAGCAAACATTTTTATGAATCAAGACACTCTAAAACATCTAAAAGGATAGCCAATATGCTCTGGAGTACCCTATACTCACAAAGGTCCAAGATTTGGGACAAAATCTCATAAATACCCATCTAAAGAGATCTAGAGAGAACATCAGCAAGGTATGGACTTTATACCTTCAAAAAGATGCACACGGTGAAGTAGGAGTTGGATCCAAATACTAGAATGCACCACCTTTTTCTTCAAGAGCTTCCTTCTCTACCAAAAATGCTCAAGAGTCACCAACAAGCTTCAAAATCACACTCACAAGGCTAGGGTTCGATATTTAGGGTTTAGAGGGAATGGAGGTTGTCTAAGGAAATGTCCAAGGGAGGTATAAGGTTTTTTAAATAGGGTTCACAACTCAAAAATTAGGGTTTAACACATGCACGCGTACGCTCGGCATACCTACTTATACGCTTCGCGTATGCCGCCTCCACCCCAGTCCTCGGTAAGGCTTACACCTAGCGTACATGGCTAGTATGCCCCTCGTAAGCCGGAAATCCTCAATACTTGAATTAATAAAATAAATAGATTGGCACCGCGGGATTTGGGATGTTACAGATCAAATTGTCGAGAACCTGCTACCCAATTTCGACTTCGATCATACAGTCGGAAGGAGGTTGAATTTGGTTTCAGGTATACGAACTGTCATAGTAATGGTGGTAGACGCCATCGATTTCGACGGATCATTTCCTAGAAAAAGTCGCAAAGTTAGTTTTTAACACAATCGACTTTCATTCTAGATCTTGGAAAGAAGAGTAATCATGTAATTTACCTAGAATTGTGTTAGTCGCTACGAAAATCGATCTACTCCCTTCATCTTTATCCCAAAGTCGATTCGATCGTGGGTTAGAACTAGGGAAAGAGAAGGAGGAGCTAACAAATTAACCAAAGTTCATCTTGTAAGTGTTGTTAAGAATTAGGGATTAAAGAATCTTGCAGATGATATGGTGTCGTTAGTTGGACCAAATTTGCTTTAAAGATTACATATTCTTTCTCGACTATCAATTGTTATTAGTTTCACCAAATCGCAAATTTGCTTTAAAAATTAAATCGTGTTCTTTCTTTGCATCAATCTTATTCCTGTAATCAATCTCATTTTTGCTCTTGGAACTCTATTCATTCATGGACATTGATCGATCATATTATGAATTTCTCTAATTTTTTTGATGACAATGGAACTCGTTTTCATTTTAAGTTATCAAAATTAAGTGCGATAGCTATTCACTATGTTTTCGAAACTAATTAATTTAAGTTTATTTCACTTGCAATTAGTAAGTTATCAAAATTAAAAGCGAAAGTTTAATTTGATCTGAAAATTCTATGTGATAAGTTTGGTTTCGTGTTTGTGGAATCCAATGGTATGCTTGTGTTTTAAAATGGGGAGGATGATGTCAATGTTAACCTTTTGTCCCTAAAGTTTCAGAAATATGACAGTTTTGGTTGTGTAATTTAAATTATAGCAGGTAAAGGACCAGCTACAAATAAATTTTGTAATCGTAGGGGCTATTTATGTAATTTAGAATAATTTGTTAACAGAGGAACGGTTAAAAACTAACAATAATATCTTAATTGACATGTACCCTAAAAATTAGATGACCTATTGCGTAAAAAAACATAAATGGTTAAATCGGATCAAACTCAAATCTTGATTGTGCTACAGTAACATTATCTCAAATAAATAAGCTAGATAACGGGATTTCTTGATGTTTTCATAGTTTGTTAAAAATAATATTGGTACAAGTTGCTTACACCATTAATGAGTTATGGAGTTATTTGATAAGTTGATATTATGGAATATTTCCTTATCCAAAGATAGTCATTTTTGTTAAAATAACCAAATGACCAGGTTATTTGCTAAAAGAAATATTGTTTAAAACTTGAATGGTTAGAAGCTCAAAATTAAGGCCAATTATTATTCTAAAATATTGGCATCCTCAAATTAAATAATTAGATTTTTTATCAACACTAATATATAAAATCAAAGAAGAAAACCAAAAAAAATCAAAATGAATGGTGGACAATGGTGGATGAGCTTCAAACTAAACGAGTGGTTACCATCATTCCTTGCTTGATTTCAACACCTCATTCCACCTCTTTTTCAACCCATCTCCTCTTCTTCCTTTCCCACCGCCTCCCACCTCCACCACAGTCATCACATACAACGACCTTCCGTTTCTCCGTCCAACAATGGCAGCCTTCACAAACCTTATAATCAAACCCCCTCAAAATCTATACTCCACAACCAAACTCAATACTTTCTCTTGGGGTTACAACCCTAAACTCCAATCGTTCTTCCCCACCAAAACCAAAATTTCCCTACAACCACTATCCACGATAAAAGCCGCTGCTACCACATCCAACGTAGAAAAAGGCAGCGCCGGTGGTGGAGCTGCCAAAACCAAGGAAGAAGACAAAGTACGGCACGTCCACACAGTGGAGGAGTTCGAGACGGCGTTACGTGATGCCAAACAGAAGCTAGTCGTGGTTGAATATGCAGCAAGTCACAGCAAGGAGAGCAGCAAGATGTATCCGTTCATGGTGAATTTAAGCAAGACATGCAGCGACGTGGTGTTTCTGCTGGTGATGGGTGATGAATCCGATGAGACGAGAGAGCTTTGCCGGAGAGAGAAGATAGAAAAGGTGCCTCATTTTAGCTTCTACAAGAACATGGAGAAGATCCATGAAGAAGAAGGGATTGGGCCTGATATGTTGATGGGTGATGTTTTGTACTATGGTGACAGTCACTCCGGCGTGGTAAGATTTTCGATCACCCTCTTTAAAGCATAACTTTTTTTCCTTTTAGAATTATATAAACTGCTTTGATTCTATGTACTCAAAGGAAACTTAATACTAATTAACTTGACATATAAATAGATGAAAATATATAAATACTAATAAAACGTTTAAAGTCTTCATTAACAAAGACTCAATAAAATAAGTTCTGACCAAAACTTCAAAATTATCGATATTATAGCGAGGTTAACAGGAATCAAAATTAAAATTATAGTGTTCCAGTCTTAATTTGTCATTAAATTTTCAGGCCTAAGATAGTATATCACTCATGAACTCTTAACTAAAACATAAAAAGTTAATTTAGAATAAGATAACAAAAGGAAAAGGTAGATAACATAGAGAATATCTCCTATATCCGCAGATATTGTTTTCAAAAGAGTTAGTTTTGCCATTCAGAAAGGACTAGCGGCGCAGCTTGTTGTCCGTTTGCCTTTCATCGATATGAATTGAACTTTATTTAGTTAACTTATAATATTAAAAAAAAAAAATACTTAAGATTTAAGAGTCATGTGATATCAATATCCAATATCACAAATAATATGTAACCATTTTTATGAGATTTTCAAGTATCTGAAGGGATTCAGATGTGGATTTTTTCAACATCGTATGGTGATATTTTTGTAATGTGAAGGTCTCGTGTCATGACCCTGTACAAAGGATTTAGGAGCTCTTGGTTAGGTAGCCCTTTAATTTTTCAATTAAGAGATAGGTTCTTAATTTTTCAAATTCATTTGATAGCATCTTAACTTTTGTCTATTAGTTGTTCAACGGTTTTTTAATTACCTTAGTTTTTCCATAGAAACTTTTTTAACTCACCCTTATTAGTTTGAAACTATAAAAGATCATTTTTATTATTTTTCTAAATTTATTATTTTTAGTTTTTAATTATTTCTACATACTTCTAAATGTGAACTTTTTATGGATGTATATATATGTGGCATATAATAATTATTTTACACATTTGCATGAAGTTGCTAAGAGTTAAATAAACGTGGAGAAATATTCATATGTTTTAATTGTGTGTATTGTACTTAGGTACAACTCCATAACAGAGAAGATGTTGAGAAGCTAATAGCCGATCACAAGGCAGATCAAAAGCTAATTGTCCTCGACGTTGGCCTAAAACATTGTGGCCCTTGCGTGAAGGTATACCCTACGGTGTTAAAGTTATCAAAACAAATGGATAATGCAGTTTTTGCAAGAATGAATGGAGATGAGAACGATAGTTGTATGCAGTTCTTGAAAGATATGGAGGTTGTTGAGGTCCCAACCTTTTTGTTTATTAGAGATGGAGAGATATGTGGGAGGTATGTTGGGTCAGGGAGAGGGGAGCTTATTGGAGAAATTCTTAGATACCAAGGAGTTCGGGTCACGTACTAATTACCCCCTCCTTATGGTGAAGATTGTTAATTTAAACAGATTTTAGATGATTGTATGCTATAATATATTTAATTACATAATATTTATGAACCCTATAAGTAAAAATATAAAGATATTGTGTTTGAAAGAAAACACAGCTCAAGACGTGTTAAAATGAAGACTCTCGACCTGAATGTAAAAAAGGACCTCATTCACCATGAAAGGTTCATCAGGGTTAATGTAGAAAAAAAAAATGATATATATCGTGTTTTGTTTATTTTATAGTTGAATGTTTTGCATCGGAAGTCAAACTTAACAAATGAACGAAGAATGATTTTCACAGTGTTGATGATGGTTTTCTAAAGTCAAAAACATTTTTTAAAGTGGGTTTAAAAATAAAAATAAAAATAATTCAAGTAATACCCAATATTTTAAAACTGTACAAAAGTTAGACAACTCTCAAACTTTAAACAATTTAAAGTTTAATGGATAAACATATCATCTTTGGATTTTCTAATATGTGTCCTTAGGACATACATAAGAACTATTAGTTATGAGAAATATTACCATAATTAAATGTGAAATGTATTAATTATGAAAAATATTTTCTATAATTAATGAATTTCACATTTAACTATGGTAATATTCTTCATAATTAATAGTTCAATCAATGTTTCTTATGTGTGTCTTTAGCACACATGTTAGAAAATCTCTTTTACTTACTATACAACTTCATTAATTTTCATACAATGCATTAAACTCAATGTAATATATATATATATATATATATATATATATATATATATATATATATATATATATATTAATAGTTAAAAGCTAGGTTTCTTTTTTCCTATTGAAGAGTTTAATGGTCATTGCACTCCATATTTATTGAATGACAACATGACATCCCATAATGATAGAGTTTAATCCATTAAATGTCAATTAGACATGTCACCTCATTCAACTCTCCTATTGAACTATGCATTGTGGATACTCTAAAATAGGATCCCATATATGTTATATCTTGGTATATCATTTCGACGTCAAGCTATCTTCCTAATCTTGCTACTAATACATGTACCCACAAATAGGGGTGTAGCATTTGGATCGGACCGGACCGACTTTTGGACCAGACTGGTTTGGAGAATTTTGTGTACCTTGGACCAGACTAGTTTGAGGCTTATTGGGTCCCAAGTTGGGGTCCGGGTCCGAGTTTTCTGGTTCTTGTACCCGTTGAACCGGTACAAATTTAGGTGCATATGGTATAACTCATTATAACGAATACGTTTTGTTGTTTGATACGGTACAACTCAATAAAAATATAATTGTTTGTTTGATTGTTTTAAATAAAAAAAATTATTACTTTTACTATTTGTTTCAACTTTGAATCAAATTAACTAATGACATTATCTATAATACTATAACTTGCAAAACTATTTTTTCAAATAAAAGCAACTAACATATAAATCAAGTTCACCAACAAAAGCTAATAATCTTAACACAGACATACAAAAGTAATGACCGTAACACCAAAAATCATAGTTTAGACTTTAAAATCAATCCAACAAACAAACATCATAATATAATCTTCCATTGGCCTATTGCCTATATTTTTGTCATCTAAATCTAATATTTTTAAAGCTTGTGCAATCTCTACATAAACACAAAATGGTAATGTTGTTAGTGTTTAATAAAAAGTAATAATTGTATCAAAATAGAACAAAGATTGTAAAACCAAAAAGTACATAAAATCGTTCATCTTGTTGTAGGCACCCCAATACTTATCATATTTCGTCTTCATGTCCTTTACATTTTCTAGAAACATTGGTTTGATTGACCAATTTCTTAGATGTATGTCTTGAATTTTACCAAAGGTTTTGATGTAGTCGAAACAATATATATTTTTGTCTTGAATTTTTCATAGAACTCCACCATATCTATTACCATTTCGAAGTCAGAATTTTCCAGTACTCTACCGATATCCCTTTCATATGATTATCTGTAAAAGATGCATAAAATTCAAAACTATAGTCTAAAAATAGCTGAAAATTGTCATTTTTAATACTCAGCTTTGAAGGATTGTAATTCATTGAATATAACACCAAAACGATAAATTATAGTCTAAAATCATGTACAAACTCTAAGTTACACGTTGGAAAAAAAACTATATGTCAATCTGACTTAAAACAAATAAGATATGCTTGTTTAAAGATTTTCACATAATACAAAAGTTTAAAATTATAGTTAAGCTGAAATATTTCAGCTTTGATATCCCAACTTTGAAGGATTATAATTCATTGAATATAACACCAAAAATGATAAAATTATAGTATAAAGTCATATACAAACTCTAAGTTACACTTTGGAAAAAACCGCATGTCAATCCAACTTAAAACGAATGAGATATGTTTGTTTAAAGATTTTCACAGAATACAAAATTTTAAAATTATAGCTGAAAAGCTGAAATATTTCAGCTTTGATATTTCAACTTTGAATGATTGTAATTTATTGAATATAACACCAAAAATGACGAAATTATAGTCTAAACTCATATACAAACTCTAAATTACACATTGGAAAAACCGTATGTCAATCCGACTTAAACAAATGAGATATGTTTGTTTAAAGATATTTTTTTAAATAATCCAGTCCAAAACCGGTTTTTACCCGAAATCGGTCGGACCGAACCGATTTTGATCAATTCCTAGAACCGTGAACCGGCCCGCGGGTCCAAAAAAGGGTCTAGTTCCTGGCTCGGTCCACGGTTCAGTCCAATCCACGGGTCCAAATGCTCACTCCTATTTGCAATCATGGAGCATAAAAACAAAATAACAATATGTAAGCTAAATTAAGCTTACTGACTAATTATAATATAATTTTGGCATGACACAACTTTAAATTATCATAATTAATAAAACTCCAAGACAACAACATAAGGTTGGATGGTGTACTCTTCACCTTTATTTTTATTTTGTCACCTTATTTTCCCCTTAGTCTCTCATCACTCTTCAAAACCCTTAAAATGATCAACCCTTACTTCGTCACACTTCTTATATTATTTTCTAATAAGTATGAAACATTCGTATATTGTATGTACAAGTTGCTAAAGCATAAAAAGAAAAAGAAAAAAAGAGAGAATATAGTGAAATGTCACTACATAGTGACATTTGGCTCAAACATTTCGCCAAGGGTCTGTTGTTCCATCATATGGTGAAATGTCTATCTCACCCAAGGTTATAAATAGCGTGAGACGTGGCGTGGCGGCAAGGCCAAGCCTCAAGCTTAACGAGCTATGGCGAGCCATGGCATTTTTAAGGTGTGATGTAAGGCGGCAATTTTGTATTAATTTATAACTATATTACCACATAAATTAATATAAATTTATATTAAATATAACTACTTTTTAGAAGTGTTATATCAATAGCTAATAACAAAAAGTTAACAAAAAACACAATACTTGTATCCCCGATTAGAAAAGACATAACAAAGTGCAAAAAATCGTGTCTCAAACGAAAAAAACACGCACCATAACACACCATGGCACGCCATATCACGCCTTGTCATACGCCACGCCTAACAGCAACGTGATGAGGCTTTTCGTAACGGCGATGCCATGCCTCACGCCATGGCACGCCTTGGCGCGCGCCATGGTGCGCCTTTTAGAACACTGATCTCACCCCACCGATCCATGCGGTAGGGGTATATCCTTGAGCCAAACTATATTGAAATTAAAAAGAACTTGGTTAAAATGACTATTTGCTTCATGAATGTTCTCAGGTAATCTGTATACAACCATTTTTAAAAATGGACCAACTATGTAACGACCCAGATTTCTATACAACTATTTTATGGGAAATGTCAGAGTTTTACATACAATGCAGAATTCTAAACAAATTTAAACCTTCTACTTCCCAAGAATAATCACGGGTGTACAATAAAATCTTTACATACATACAATAAACAACAAGGAATACAATAATATTATCCTACTATCTAAGTCTTCCTTGTGCTCCTGTCTTCTCTTCTGGTACAACGGCTGCTAACACTTGAACCTGCAAAACATAAAACCAATGCAACATCAGACACAAAGTGTCTAGTGAGTTATTTTGTTGACTTTTATTATCTTTCTCTCATTCTCTTTCACATAATAACATCCACTGCTATTCTTTCTTTCTTTCATCCACCTCTTTTTCTGTCATCTATTCTTCTTTATTCTTTTTTTTCTACTCTTACTCTTAACCTCTTAACAAGATATTCTCATAATCTTCTCTTAGCCTCTTAACATTCTCTTCTCATACTATATACATACTCTGACTCTGTCTTTGTCTCTATCTATTCTCTTATCCTCTTAACAGGCTCTTCTCATACTCTGTACATACTCTGACCCTGTCTCTGTTTCTATCTCGCCTCTTAGCCTATTAACAGTCTCTTCTCACACTTTACTCCAAGGGAACAACATCACACTTTCATTACTGGGCACTCTCACCCAGTCTTACTCCTCTCACTTATGACCCCTAGTAGATCCTTAGTCTTTCTTTTTACTCTTTAATCCTTCATAGATTCCTTACACTTAATCCATCACTGATTACATATAAGCTCTTACAAAAAACTTTCTTATCTTGTTCCTCACAAGCAACCTTTTTCTATCTTCTCTAATCATACATAATCTTTAATTCTCACAGGAATCATCTATCTCATTCCCAAAGGAATCATACTCTCGTCCCCGAATGAACATCTATCTCATTATTGAAGGAATCATACTCTCATTCCTGAAGGAATCATTCTCTTGTCTCCGAAGGACCCTCTATCACATTCCCGAAGGAACCTCTGTCTCATTCCTAAAGGAATCATTCTCTTGTCCACGAAGGAACCTCTATCACATTCCCGGAAGAATCATAATCTTGTCCCCGAAGGAACATCTATCTCATTCCCGAAGGAATCATATTTTCTTCCCCGAAGGAACATCTATCTCATTCCCTAAGGAATCATAGTCTCGTCCCCAGAGGAACATCTATCTC